TAGAATCTTTGATCAATGTTCAATAATGGTCGTGGGCACCATCCAGTTCTTCTGGTCTCGTGGCAAAGGAGGCAGTTGTTCATGGAGGCACTGAACCACACATTCCTTTCTCCCTCCTTTCCTGCTCCTGGTAACCACTAATAAACTTTGTTCTCTATACATTTACCATCTGTTGTCTTTTTATATAAGTGAGGTTGTACTGTGTTTGTCCTTCTGTGATTTACTTATTTCCCTCAGCATAGTGTCTTCCAGTTCCATTCATATTATATCATATATCAAGACTTCATTCCTCCTACTGGCTGAGTAGTATTCCATTATATGTATTACCACATCTTGTTTATCCAGTCATCTGTTGGTGGGCCTTTAGGTTGTTTTCACCTTTTGGCTATTGTGAATAGTGTGGCAGTGAACTTTGGTATGCAACTCTCTGTTTCAACCTCTGCTTTCAAGTCTTTTGGGTTTATACCTAGGAGTGAAATTTCAGGGTCATATGGATGGTAGTTCTATTTTCAGTTTTCTGAGGAACCACCACACCTGTTTTCCACAGTAGCTGTACCATTTTATCTGCGTACCAGCAATGGGTAAGGGTTCAAATTTCCATACATTCTTGCCAGCATTTGTTATTTTCCATTTTTCAATCTTAGTCATCCTGGTGGGTGTAAAGTAGCATCTCATTGTGGGTTTTGATTTGCATCTCTCTGATGGCTAATGACCCTGAACATCTTTTCATGTGTCCAGAGGCCATTTGAATGTCCTGTTTGGTAAAATGCCTATTCAAGTCCTATGCCCATTTTATAATTGTGTTATTTGTATTTTTGCTTACATTTCTTTTTAAATAAACAAATGCCAGATAATAAGCAAAAGTAAGCTAGTGATTAAATTATCTACAGCTTGTCGATGTGATTGAAAATTTCCTATTTAGAGTGGTAGAGGTCCTGAGTGACACAGACAGTTAATGTGCTGCTAACTGAAATGTTGGTGGTTCCAGTCCAACCAGAGGCATCTTGGAAGAAAGGCCTGGCACTCTACTTCTGAAAAACGAGCTGTTGAAACCCCTGTGGAGCCCAGTTCTCCTGTGACGCGCATGGGGTTGCCATGGGTCAGAATCTACTCAACAGCAATGGGTTTTATTTAAAATGACAGTTATGTGGGAATTTGAAATGTATGTATGGAATGATGCTAGTTAGGAAAGAATAGTCTGAAATATTAATTGATTACAGTTTTATTATTCCTTCTACATACATGTATTAACAAAGATTAAGGAAATTTGAAGGGAAAGATTTTTTTCTCTAAAACTGCTTTAATCTATAAACTATTTTAAAAGTGAGTGAAGAGTTTGAGGCTCTGTAAACTCTGGGCAGAGCAGCTGGAATTACAATAATGACAGGCATCACCCTAAAGCAGGCCCTTGACCAAAATGTAGGAAATAATGATGAAGCCCCAAGTGGGCAAGGGCTTGCAGCAGAGTGACTGATACAAATCTGGAAACCTGGCCCAGAGGAACTGCGCCTGCACACCACCATCTTTTTACAGAAACTAAGGCCTTGCCTTCTCCCATCACCAGCTCACCCGCCTCTCTCCATAGACACGACTGTGGAACAATGGCCTGCCGGAGGGTCTTCACGGACTAGAGAAACAGAGATTAAATAGGAATTTGGATCTTTCCATAAGATCTACTCACTCTGCCCTACCTGGGATACCAATTCTACCCATTTCAAATGCTTCACTAAAGCTTATCTTGTGACACAGCCCCAGTCACTCTAACCCTACCTGTTTCTCCCAAATGGCTACATACCCTTTCTCTCCTGCACCAGTGACATGCATGTAACCTCACTCAACCCAGAAGACAGAGATCACGTATCTCTTTGCGGGATACCTTGAAATACAGGCGGTTCCTGGGTTACAAACAAGAGCCGTTCTAAGTGTGTCTGTAAATCGAAATTGTATGTAAGTCAGAATAGGTGCATATGATTCTCACTTAGCCTTATGAGTGGGGGCCAACTCGATGGCAGTTAGTTCGGTCTTCTGTGGTTTGGTTTTAGTGCAAGGAAGAGCTTGATGCCTTTTCAATTATTTAAAAGCTGCACGAACAGCAGGTGAAGATGATTGTGGTGAACTTGTTGAGAGTAGGGGTTAGTTCAGTCATTTCAAAGTGAAGATAAATTTATATAACATTAAAGGGCAAGTAGGTGTTGTCCCTAAATTGGATGTTCTTAACCCAGGACGCTGGTAGTGATCAATGACTCTAATCATAGCAACAAGTTCACAAGTAGGAAATACTGCTGTAGTCTGTTTATGTCAATACAAAATCACACATTGAAAAAGAAGGTAAGGGTGAAGGGCTGTCTTAATTTCGATTAATATTCTCTTCATGTGCAACTTGTTCTTTCAATTGGTCATTTATGAAGAATTTGTGGAAGTATACTACAAAACCAAGAAAAACGGCTTATGCGTTGATTTCATTTTTGCCATGAGTTTAAAAGTAGGATTCCTGGCCATTCACTGACCAGAATTCTCTGAGAAGGGAACTTTAGAATCTCTGGTCTGGCCCATCCATTTGGTCCTTAATGGTACCCTTCCTTGGGATTTATCTTCAATTGTTGGCTTGCATTATTTTAAACAGTTACTTTTTTCAAACATTATCTTGATTTGTAAGGCTTCTCTCCTCACCTAAACAGAGGGATATTTCTGTACGTTACTTTTTTCAAACATTATCTTGATTTGTAAGGCTTCTCTCCTCACCTAAACAGATGGATATTTCTGTACATCCCCTCTGGCCAACTTGAGCAAGTGAATGAATGAAGACTGCAGAAACACCTGGAACAGTAGTGGTCAAAACAAAATTGTGGTGAAAGTCAAAGGTCTTCTTTCAATATTGGAAACCTCTGCCAAACAAGGAATTACTAAAGAAGAAATTTCTGAAGGTCTAGAAAAAAATAAGGATTTAAAGTAAGGAGACTTGGTCCCAGTCCTGCCGTTACTGAAAACTAGCTTTGCCCAATATAACCCCTGATAGGGTTTCCTCATCTACCAGAAAGAAGATTGGACTAACCTTTAAAATCCAGTTCTAAGATTCAGTGCTGAATTCTGCACTTCCAGATTTCCGGGTCTCGAATCTTGTTCATAATACAGCCGTTTCCTGCCTGCCTGAGAGGCGGCAGGCCTAGCACAGGAACAGAGGCCTATTCCTCTTGTAGCCATTGGCCCTGACCTTGGCAAGTCATCTCACCTCTCTGGGTCTCCTTTGGCCACTCAGCCGTGAGGAGGATGGAGACGACTGGCTGGTTCCTGCCTGTCTCACTGGGGTTGTAAAGGCCAGTACAATTTTACAAAGGATGAATTCCTGCAAGGAAGAACTTGCATGAGTAAAATATTTCAATACTTCCACTGTAATTATCACTATAACATTCAGGAGTCATGAAGGATGAGAAGAGATGGAGCAGATGTAAGTACACCTTGTATTTACGGTAATGGGGTGGAAAGAAGCCTTGGAAGGCATCTAGGGACCCACTTCTTTTACAGATAAAGACATGAGAACCAAGAAAACATAAGTGATAAACTCAAAGCCACGGGCTAGTATGTGGTATGGTTGGAGCCAGAGCGTGGCTGCCCTGACTCCCAGGCCAGTGTGCACTCCACTGCACCAAAACAGAGGCCCTGGAATAGCTCTTGGTTTTCAAAACCTTCAACAGGATGGCTTCTGGGAAGCCAGCATGTATACAAGGTCTGTTCTGCTTAAATGCAGAAAATTATTCCTTGTAGGCAACCCATGGCAACAGGTCAAGTAGCCAGCGTGGTGCAAGTGATTTGCGAATGGCTACTGACCTAAATGTCAGCAGTGCAGACTCAACCAGAGGCCCCTCAGAAGATGGGCCTGGCAGGGCACCTCCAATAAAAATTACAGTCAAGAAGCAGTTCATCTCCAGCACCTGGGCTTGCCATGAGTCAGGAACCAGCTCAATACCTCATAACAACACTAGCAACAGGTCAGGCAGAAGACCCAGCCATCAGATGATCCTCAACCATACACTTTTTTTCCAATTCCCTCTTCATCAGAGGGCCAGAGTCAGTTTGCTTTGAGACAGCACAGAGAAATCCTAAACCCCTGTCTGGGAGAGCAGAGGTTAGTCTGTCCTCCTCCTCCCAGTTCTGGGAACCTGGAATAGCAGCCAGAAACGTCTCACCAATGAGAGAAGCCTGAGTCGGGGTGGAGGGAGAGCGTGCTGTGTCATCTTCTCGTCTTACCGTTTTCATTATCACGTTCAACCCAGACTTCCAGATTTGTGATCTCTAGTTCTTCCTGTCGGGACATCGGTTAGAATTCAGTACGTATTAATTAAGCACCTTACTGCATACAAGGCACTGTTGTAGGCACAATAGCCAGAGACAACTTAGACACAATTTCAGGAGATGCGTCTCTTCAGGGTCTGGGATTCGCTCCTGAAATCACGCACAGAGTTTATGTGCATTTTTCGGGGGGAGCAGTCCTTAACTTTTATCGAATTTGTTACCTTAAAACAGTTAACTACCATGGTGGGTTGTAGACTAGAATTTTACTTCAAGCATCTGCTGTCTTGCTCAGTGTCCCCATTCTGCACAGTGAAGAGTCCTGCCTGATCGGCTGCCCTGAGGGATGTTGTGACCTCTAGGTAGCTGGCTTGGGATCCCTTTGGCTATGGAGCTATCACCCTGCATACTGGTAAATACCTCATGTACCTCTGCTAGTTCTATTCAAGTGATTTGCAGAAGAGCTTGGTAAATGTCCCCCATGAGAATTCTGGTGTTAATTCAGCATGCAATTGGATATAGAAATTCAGAATGTACTAATTGCTAGTTGGCAGGAAAGGAGCAGATGTCAAGACAAACCATAGTCAAAACTGAGGCGCCAGTGGTGTCCGCTTTGCAAGAGAAGCCGTTTTCTCTTTGCCTGCTGTGTGTAGAGTGTGAGAGTGGCTCACTGCTGCGAGGTGTGCTGAGTTTTATTCTTTCTCCCCCTGTAGAGAGAAGACACGGTTCAATGTGTAGACCTTCTCCCTCTCCAGCGTCTCCACCCTCCAATTCCAGGACATCACTAGTCCAGGTGAAAACAAAAGCCTGTCTCAGCGGCCATAACTCTGCCAGCAGCACCTCAAAGCCATTCAAAACGCCCAAAGACAATCTACTTACCTCCAGCAGCAAACAGCACACAGTCATTTCTGCAAAAGGACCAAGGGAAAAACAATGGTGAGTGTTGGGTGCTGGGGAGACAGCCAGCATCTCTCTGTCCCCAGCTATCCCCACTGCCTGGCCCTGCCGCCAGGACAACAGTGGCTTTGTTTCTGGGCATGATGTCCAGGAATTTGGGGAACTAAAGAGGGGAGAGACAGAAAACCAGAGTGATGTAATGAAAAACCTAAATGCTAAGAGGAAAGGGTGACCAAAAGAGAGCCTTTGCCTGGGGAGAATGTTTTTTTCTCTTGAGAGCTGAGTCAAGTTGTGTCTAAGAAAAGGATAATAGGGAAATAGTCCTCAGTTATGGTCATCTCTCAATTTTCTGCCCCAGTGAAGAGACGCACAGTGGGCACAGAGAGAAGTGAGGCCATGGTCTGTCTTACTCTAAAGATCCTCCTGCCCTGAGCAGCCAGGTCCCAGCAGAGGCAGGTAATGAGGAGCCACCCTCAGGAGGGAGAGAACAAAACCAAGGAGAATGTCACCCCTTTGATGGGTTATAAGTGACGGTTAAAAAATCAGAGGATTTTGATTGATCTTTGTATCTCAGTCTTTACCAAAAAGTCCGAAAAGGTAACTTGTGGATTGGACAGGTAGGAAACCAAATGGAAGGTGAGGACAGGAAGCTGAAGATGAGTGGCTTCACACGCTGACCATGAGGTCAGATGCCCAAACTCAGGTCTTGTAACATTTAACCAAAACCAGGTGCCGACCAGTCGATCCTGCCTCACGGCAGCCCCGCGTGTATCAGAGTGAAACTGTGCCCTTAGGGTTTTCAGTGACTGCTTTTTCAGACGCAGAACAGAGGCATTTGTTCCAGGGTGCCTCTGGGCGGAATCGAGTCTCTAGCCTTGGGGTTAACAGTCAAGCCTGTTAACTATTTGCATCTCCCGGGGAGTCCTGCAATGCTGAGGGACTGGTTTATTACAGAGTCTCTAGCCTTCTCCTTCAGGCCCGTGAAGTCAGAAAAAGGGATAAATAGAAAGCCCATCCACTGTATTTATATATTTAAAGGATTCTGTTAGTTAATGATAGTTAATTGCACTTAACTTCATACCTAGGAAAGCCATGGAATAAAAACATTCATCTCTTGGTTTGCCGTAGCACACAGGAAATTATGATGACTTTGCAAAGAGCTAATTATGCCAGATTAATTGAGAGCCTCCTGTGACAGAGGGGGAAGGTTTGATGTGGTTGCTGAGAAAGTGTGTTACCTGTCACCCAGCCCAGCTGGACATTAAGAGAAGTTTTGTTCTCTTCCGGTTCTTATAATCCTGGGTCCACCCTATAGGAGGAGATGCATAGCTGTTAGGAAAGGCTCAGCCAGAGAATGACCCTGGGTGACCTTTGTCCCTGCTCACTGGGAGTGTGTGTGTCCCAATCACTGTTCTGCAGTGCCTCTCTGATCAGTGACTCCGAGAGCACCTGGAAGTTTGTTTGCTGAAGCAGCATAGTGTCTGGAATTACTCCCTGTGCTCAAATCCCAGCTAAGTGACTTTGGGCAAGTTACCTGATCTGATTGAACCTCAGTTTCCTCAGCTGTAAAATGAGACCAATAATAGCTCTATCCTCATGGGACTGTTGTGAGGATTAAGTGAGCTAGTTTTGATCAAAGTAGCCAGCACAATGTTTGGATATAGTACACATTCAATTAACATTTGATGGTATTGCCATCAACATTATTATCATGTCTCCCAAAGGAAAGTGCTCTGACAACCTGAGGTAAAGGTTGAGAAGTCAAATCTCTGTTTTAAAAAAAATGGAGAAATGATTCTTCAGACTCAGAGTGAAGCTGAAAATGGAAAAGAATAAAATAATTCACTCAGAGGCCAGAAATGACCTTCAGAGACACCAAATGTGGAGAATCTGGCAAGGGGCTGCTAAGCCAAGAGGAGATTCAGGGGCTCAGAGATGATCATAAAGTGAACTTCCCTTGTGGAAGAGCAAACTTGGGGCCTCAGGTGTCCCTAGAGTGTGAGACACAGCCCAGGAAGAACTCCCCCAGGAGGCAAATGTTCTGGAAGACCTCTGGGTTTAGATCAGTCTCCACATTCGACTCAGTCCAACTCTACACACGCTTATTAAGAACTGCATGGTCAGGGCCCTTGCAGCTAGAGGCAGAGAGTGATTTTGAAAGAATCGGAAGAAACTAGCCAAGGTCCAGAGAAGAGCTACCAAGATAATAATAGCAAGGAAGGAAATAGCTCTTGTGAAGAAAAGGTTTCAAAAATGAGAGTGCTAACGTTCTGTGGAGAAGAGGAAGCTAATGGGTGATTTACCTCATGTAACTAGGTAAATATTACGGAGACAGACAAAGGGTGCACCAACAATGAGGCTGTACTGTTGATTGTCTACCTGTTCTCCTCTCCATTCTGCCATCTGTTGACCAGGAACCTGTGTCAGGGAAGAGCCAGAGTCCCCAAGGCTGAAAAGATCTGGCATGGTGGCTCACAGAACTCAGGGGTTTTTCCAGAATCCAGGGGGTGGAGAACAAACCTTGAGCTAAGGGCAAGTAAAGCAAGTTCAAGTCCTGGCTCTGCTGCTGACTTTCTGTATGACCTTGAATAAGTCACTTAACCTGAGTCCCATTTTCAAGCCTGAATGTGTTGTGATTTTAAGTCAGAGTCCTCTCAAAAACCCTCAAAGATCCCTCATTGCCTCCTAAATTAAGAATTAGCTCCCAGCCCAAATAAGGGACTCTCTGCAACCTGTCTTCAAACTTCCTAACCCAACTCTGATCGTCCAGTGTTGCACCATTACTCCAGCTGTTCCCCAAAATCTTGCCCTGGTTTCTATACCTAGAACATCCACCTGTCTTTACTTAATATTTAGTGAACACCTAACCAAAAAAAAGAAGAAAAACCCAAATTCACTGCCATCAAGTCAATCCCAACTCATAGCGACCCCTCCTTGGGTTTCCGAGGTGGTATCTCTATGGATGTAGATTGCCCAACCTTCCTTCCGAGGAGTGGCTGGTGAGTTTGAACTGCCAGCCTTCTGATTAGCAATCAAATGCTTTAGGTTCTACGCCACTACTATGTGCAGTATGGAGATCTTTAGGGACCACTGATGTTCCATAAAGGAGCTCTGGTGGCATACTGGATAAGGCATTTGGATGTTAACCAGAAGGTCAGTGGTTCAAACTCATCAGCCGCTCTGTGGAAGGAAGATGGGGCAATCTACTCTCATAAAGATTTACAGCCTTGGAAACCCAAAATGAGAGTCACTGAGTCAGAATCTACTCAACGGCAGTGAGTTTGGCTTCGGTTTTTTGATGTTCCACAAGGTACTTCTGTGCAAATTAGAAAAAGGCCTGGATGAGTGCAGTCCTCTTCCAGGTGCACAGTTGGCTGAGTGGACTTCACTCGCTCCTCACTTCTTCATCCAGGCATCCTAGAGCAGTGAGTAACCTGCACAACTGTGCAGTGCAGCCCTGAGCGTACAAAGTTAAAGAAGACACAGACATTGTCTTAGGGAGTCTGTAAAAAGAGACATAGCTAACACAGAGTATGATGGGATAAGGATATGATATTGGTAGGACAGGAAAAGGAGCACCCAGCCAAAGGCTCAGAAAGGTTTTTCAGAAGAGGTTACACTTAAGCTAAATTAGAAGGACAAGTAGAAAGAGAGAGGCAAAGAAGCTGGGAAGGGTATCTCAGGCAGAGGGAACGGAATGTGCACAGATGTTTGCACGTGGGGAGAGGCAGGAGATGGAGCGGGTGGGTGGGCCTGATCATGAAGTTTGGCTTCATGCATGTGCCAAGTTCAGGAGTTTGAACCTCCCAGTTTTCAGTTGTAGTAAGATCACCCTGACAGCAGCCTAAAAGATGCATTGAGAGGCCAGACAGGAAGTTGCAAAGACGGTGAGGACATTGTTGTATAGTACAATGGGGCGTGATGGCAGCCTGGACCAAGGAAGTGGTAATGGACAGGTAAGGAAAGGGCTAGGAAATGCATGGAGACCAGACTTTGTTAGTGGTTACAGGGGCAGGTGAAAGGAGGAGAGCAGGATTTATTGCTTAAAGGTACTGTTTCTGTTAAGGGTGATGAAAGTATTTGGAACAGTCAGTATGAGGTTTTGTTAGTAGTGATGGTTGCACAACATGATGAACGTAATTAATGCCCCTGGGTTGTACACGTAAAAATAGTTGAAATGGCAAACGTTTCCTTCTGTACATTTCAGCACCAAAAAAAAAAAAAAAAAAACCAAACTCACTGTCATCAAGTCGATTCTGAATCATAGGGAACCTCGTTGGGTTTCTAAGGCAGTAAATCTTTACGGAAGTAGATTGCCCAGTCTTCCTTCTGAGAGTGGCTGGTGGATTTGAACTGTCAACCTTCTGGTTAGCAAATGCCTTAAGCACTACATCACCAGCACAGTGATATTTAAAAAGGAGAGGAGCCAGGTGTGGGAAATATTAAGGAGGATTGCTCCACAGGACTTTGGGGTCAGTTACATACAGGATTTGGGATAAAAAGGAAGAGTTTAGAATGATGTGCAGGTTCATGGCTTGGACAGTTGGGTGGCTGGAACTGCCACTTCCCAAAGAGGATAGAAAGGGCCAGAGTTTAGGGCAGGGAGGGGAGGGTGAGTTGAACGAAGGAGTTCAGTGGACTGTTATGTGTCGGAGAAACAGCTACAGTGAGACATCTAGAGGCACTGAAGGTTTGGAAACAGAGGTCAGAAGAGAGGTAGGAGTTGGGAATGGAGACTTGAGAGTCATCAGTGTCGACATGGGCATTGAAGCTGTGGGTGTGAGTGAGGCCCCCCAAGGAGGGATGCAGCTTGATGAGCAGGGGCTGAGGGCAGGGCCCTGGAGAGTGCGGGCCTGGGGAAGAGGACCCTGAGGAAGCAGGGGCTGCCAGGCCAGTGTGCTTGCCACAGCATCCTATTCCCGTTCCTTCCCGGCCTGAATGTGCAGCGTTCTTCACTGCCCAGCTCACTGGCCTTCTCAAAGCCCTCTCTTACTCACTGCCTCCTCACTAATCACCTGATACACTGTCACTTCCTTTTA